CCCGGCCCAAGGGGGCTGGGGAGTCGGCAGGTGCAACAAGCCGAGTCAGCACCAGGGCAGGGAGGGGACTTCGGAAATGAGTAACCAGGCAGGGGTGAGGGGGAAGTGAGCCTGGCACCCCGGAAAGAAACGGGAAATGGCTCGGGTCAGGCCTGCCCTGTTTCCTGGCCCCAGGAAATCCATTGTTAAACCAGGCCTGTGGACCACTTCCCATGGGGGGAGGGTGAGGACAGGCAAGAGGTGAAGGTGCAGCCAGCACAGCACAGAGCTCAGGAGCCAGAGTCGGAGAAGCTGCTGAGCTGGGGTGGCTCCCAGTGGGGGAGAAGCCTGGGAAGCCCTCGGGGAGGCGGCAGCTTCAGGGAGGTGCCTGATTAGATGGACAGCTTCTATACCACAGAGGAGCTGGCGGGCACAGTGACCAGACAGCATAAAAGGTGGACAAGGTGGGAGGCCGCAGCTCTCCCTGTGACTGGGCTCCCACGGATACTGCTATTTGCACAACAGAAAAGCCGAAGGTCGGCATGGGTGGGGGCCCCAGTTTATTCTGTCCTTCCCTGCCACCCATTTAGGGTGATCAGCCATGCATCCAGGGAACTCAGAGCTGGACACGGGATGTTGCTTCCCATGGGCACAAAATGACCGCCACAGCTCCAAGCCTCGTCCCACATAACAGTACAGTGCGTAAGGGGAAACGGGGTGGGGGTGCAAACAGATCCCTCTTGGACATCTCAGAAGCCCTCGGGAAGGCCCTCCCCTTGCATTTTGACAGGACTGGGTGACCCATCGCTACTCATCCTCTACCACTGAGGCTTTATCCACCGACGAAGGGGGAATGGCTGCTCGGCGGCACCGAGGGAGTGGCCGTTACTGGACGTGCCTGTGGGGAAGAGCATGGATGAGGAAGTCGGGGTTCCCTCTCTGCCCCTCACGAGCTGCATGGTGCGTGGCTCCCTGTGCACGGTGAGCACAGCCCTGCCGGCAATACGGGGTGATGGGAGGGGCTGCCCTGCAGAGTCCTGGGAAGATGAAGTGAGATGAATGGGAAGAGTGCTGACCGTGGTGTTTGGCAAACGTGCGGCCACATGGCGGCTGGTGTCGCAGACAGCTGGTGCCGTGAGTTCGACTCCCTAGACGGCCACCGGTCCAGCACAGACCCCTGCTCACATGCCTCGGTCTCCCTCTGCGGGGGTGCTGGAGGGTGGGGAGCCTCAAAGCTGCCCCTCAACCTCCTCATTCTTGCATAGCGCCTCCATGTCAACCACCCTCGGGGGCTTCTCCGAAAGTGCAGACACTGAGTCAGAGGAGACGTTTATTTATACATTTTTAAGTATTCGTTTAATTTTGTTACCATTATTTTAATTTGCTGTAGGGCACATGTGCTCCCAGAGAGAGACAGGGAGAGAGGGAAAGTGAGAAAGCAAGCCAACAGGTATGGGACTCAAACTGTAGTCAGCCATATGGGAGTCCAGCACCTTAACTACCACGCCACCTGCTGACCCCCACAGAGAGACTTATTAATTTTTATTATTATTTTAATGCCAGAGGGTGCTTGCACACATCAGAAAGAGGGTACCCCTGCAGGGCCTGGTCATGCTATAATCACTCCCACACCCCCATCTCCCCAGGGTCCTGGCAGGTGCATACGCGCCAACTATGTGACCAGGTTTGTATCTGAGAGACAGCGCTGGCTGTCCCTGGGAAGAGACCCCAGGGAGGGGAGGAGAGGAAGGGTCACATAACAGGCTGCCAAGTCAGATGGCCAGCCTGGCATGCTGAAGAGCAGGGCTGTGGGGGTGGGGGAGAGGAGGAGCTGCTCCTGGACCTCCTTTGAAGGTGGAGCCGATGGGATTGATTGCCAGATGGAACATGGATACAAGAGGGAGAGAGAAACACGCCAGGTATGTGTGCATGTGTGCCCATAATCCCCAGGAGGATGGAGAAGGGATCGTGGTGTGGCCATCGCCCTGGGGGGTGATTTCTCACTTTCCCTCTCTGTCTCTGCCTCTGTCTCTCCCCAGTGAGCATACACATTCTATAGCAAATTTTTTAAAAAATGGGGCCAGCAGATGACATAGCAGGCGTCCCTGGGCTCCCACACTGCCGGCCGCGATTTGAGGCCTGCACCCCGTGGCTTGAAACTCATGCCAGGCATGTGCGCGTGCGTGCCCAAGATCCCAGGAGGAGAGTGGAGGAGGAGGACTGCAGCGTGACCAACCCCCTGGGGGGTGATTTCTTGCTTTCCCTCTCACTGTCTCTGCCTCTCTCCAGTGAGAGCACATGCCCTAAGGCAAAAACCTCTAAAACAAAACAGAACCAACACCTAGCTGTTTGTAGGCTTTTCTGTCCAGACCCAGCCTGTTTTAGCACCCCCCCCACATAGATCTGGTTGCACCCTAACGATCTGAGAAGCGGAGGAGGACCACAGGTGGCAGTGACACAGGCTCTGTGAGGTGACCACCTGGGGGGCGTGACGCAGGCTGGCTGAGGCCAGGAGTGGGCCAAGGCATCCAGACCCTAGGGTACCTCTCTTGATCATGGAAGAAAGACACTACCAAAAACATTCCCTTTTTCTCTGCCCTGCAGCCCGCTGGCCCTGGTTCGGACACAGTCCCCCCTCAGCCTTTCAGCACACGCAACTTCCTGAGCAGCACAAAGGCCTCAGGGGCATCCGAGGGGCAGCACCAGCTCTCTGAACCCCGGGCCAGCTCCCAGGGTCGCAGCGTGCTCTCCCTGAGCACCAGGCCTTGCTCGTAAGCTGGGGACTCGGTGGCACAGGCTGTGACCGCGTCCCCTTGTCCCTGCAGCAAGCATGCAGATGACCAGGCTCAAGGCACCAAGCGCCATTCCCGGGTGTGGGCGCTTCCTGGCCGTCTGACAACAGGGACGAATGTCATGGCCAGGCAGCTGAGCGCCCGGGGTGTTGGCCTGGGATTCCCGGCCTTATGGGGCACGTCAGCGGGAGCCCAAGTGTTCTGCCTTTCACACCCCGTGCCCAGTGCCCCCTGGCCTTGCAGGCCCTCGCTTCCATGTCCCAGGCTGCCCAGAAGAAGGGAGGGAGGAAGGAAGGAGGACGCTGCAGAGAGGCAGGGGCCTGCGGAAGGGCGCAGGGCTGGGCCAGGCCAGGGTCCGTCAGGAGCAGAGGGTCCCGGCAGCAAGGCAAGAGAGCGGTGGTCCTCGTGCTCCTCTGGGAGGGAGAAGCCCAGGTGAAGATAGGGGACGAGCAGGAGGCAGGGCCCTGTGAGGCCACTGCTCAGACCCAGGTTGAGTTGGAGAGGTGGAGGAGGCACAGGAGGAGAGGGTACAGGAGGGCTGGTCATGGCCGGTCTTGGGAGCTGTGCCCTGCCCTATCACCTTGGCTAACCCCGCAGGCCTGGAGGCAAGTTCTCAAAATCAAGTGTGAGTCAGGGTGAGCAGCAGCGGTGGCTGCAGCGGTGGGAGGCCGTGAGTGCACAGCGGACGGGACTGGCGTTTCCTGTGTCCCTCGGCAGTCTACCCTGGGTGTTATGGGAGATCTGTACCTGGCCCAGTGTCACCATCCCCAGGGACAGCCCAGATGGGCCCAGGGCAGACCTCAGTGAGGCCTCCAGCTGTACTCCAGTGCTGGCCTGCCCACTGACCAGGGCACTGCCCATTCCCAGAAGGCAGCCTGCCCCAGGGGCCATTCACCCGGCCAGGCGGGCGGTCCAAGGGGCGGGCCCAGCCCGGGAACCAGGAGTGAAGGAGGAAAGACATGGCGCCCCTGCCCTCGAGGTGTCCGAGCACAGGTACTGGGGGGCTCCTGAGATGTCCTATGGCGCTGGAGGCGGCTACCCGAGGGCGAGCTGGGGACAGAGCCTCAGAGTCTCTCCCAAGGGCTGTTTATTTGGAGCTCCAGCCTCCCTGGAGGACTGCATGTGGGGAGGCCAGGGAAGCTTTCCGAGCATGGGTTCTGGCTGGCCTGGGTTCCCACGACAGTCCAAGGCGGACAGGCTGCGGGCTTAGGGGCGCCAACACGATGATGGAAACTTGAGGCCTTCAGCCTCTCCCTTGTTATGGAAGCGACAGATGCCAGAGGCCACCCAAACGTGTGTCCCTCTGAGTGGACGGCTGCTGGCCTGTGATGGCATCAGTGTCATGTCCAGCCCCTCGGTCTCCAGGGTCCCTCTCTGCCGTCCTCTAGAAGGAGTAAGGGATAGGGCGACGATAGGAACCTTCAAGCAGTCCCGACTATGACATCTGCCGGGCCCAGCACCAAGTGACCGTGCTGGCCCCATGCCTAAGAGTGTAAAGAGTCTCAAGAAGGTGACCACAGACCATTAAACCCAGCGTGGGTCCTTCTGAGAGTGGAGGCCTGCAGAAGGGGAGGAGGAGAAAAAAGTCCGGGGCACGGGGAGCGAGAACGCTATACGGGCGTCCTGGGTGCACATGTGACACACGCAAAGTCCCTCGGGCTGCGCCCAGGCTCCTAACGGCCCAGAGTCTGCTTCGTTTTTTCCGTCCTCGTTCTTGCTATAGGGTGCATGTGCTCATCAGAGAGACAGAGAGGGAAGGCGAGAAATCAGCCCCCAGGGGATGGCCGCACTGCAATCCCCTCTCCTCCATTCTCCTCTCGGGATTTTGGGCACCCACGCTGGGTGAACTTCAAGCCAGTGGGTCCAGGACTCGAGCCTCGGTCGACCACGTGGGAGTCCAGCACCTTAACCACTACGCCACCTGCTGGTCTCTCCGCAGAGGTAGTTCGCATGACGCACACAGCTTAGAATAGCAGCAGGCACAGAGGCTCGGTGACTCCCCTGAAGTCGCTAACCTCCCTGCCTGGTACCACCCTCTGTGGTCCCTGAGTAGAGATTAGGTCGTGAAGGTATTGAAAGGAACGTAGTGCCTCTGGGCGTCCGCAGGGGGCTTTGGGGCCAGCTCCTGCGGGTTTATCAGTAGAGGGAGAGTCACACAGGCGTTCAAACCTGGCCACTCTGCTCTGTCCTCGCCCTCACCGTGGGCTCCCACGCAGCCTCGGACACCACGCACACACTCACTCACGCACACCCGCTCGTACACTCCCACATACTCCCTGAGCTACCTCTCACGCGGAGCAGCGGCACTGGTGACTCCTGCCAGGCCCAGGCTGGCCTCACAGGCTCCCCCTAGTGGCTGGCGGAATGCAACTGCTCCCAGCGCCCTGTTGTGCCTCGACTGTCCACTCAGTAGAGTAGGAACTGGACTCCCAAGAAATAGCCAGACTGAGGCTGGAGCTAAAGACCCCCAGGGACTGGACCTCGAGGGCTCCCAGGTTGGGCAGTAAAACAGGTACCTGGACTGAGGCCAACCAACACTCCCCCACCTGCAGGCTCCCCACCTGTAGAGCTCCCCACCTGCAGAGCTCCCCTACCTGTAGAGCTCCCCCACCTGCAGAGCTCCCCCGCAGCAAGCCCCCA